GGGGGAGAAATGAGAAGGGGAGAGAAAAAAACAACAAACTTGCTTCACATATGATGATATTTTCATGGAATCATTTCTTACCGTTCCCGTGCTGTACCTATCCCGCAGTTGGAGACTTGTGCTCTGTTCCTTGTGTCACTGACTCGAACAACAGAGATTCCCTAACCCTGGCCCGGTCACCTGGTCGCTGGACACTCTGACATCACCACTGACCACTGACCAGGTCGTTAATGAATGGACATTTCTTCTGGTAGACCCCTACTTTGAGTTGGGGGGTTTTTGTTTGTTTTGTTTGGGGGTTTTTTAAGGGAGACCAGTTGTCTTTGTGTTGATGGGTCAATGGGATGACTGTGAACAAATCCAGATGTAAGCAATTCTTTTTATTGGACATTAGTTCTGATAGATCCCTACTGTGAGTGTCGTTCTTTATCGCTGTGAATACGCATATGATTTTCGCCTCGGGCTGGGAAAATTATGCGTACAGTTTTCCACATAAATGTTATTTTTGCTCGACAGCCGTCTGAGACTGAAATCTGTATTAGGGAGTGGGTTTTTTTTGTTGTTTGGTTCTTTTTTTGTGTGTAAATGTTATCTTCAAAGCAGTGCTGAGGGCCGCTGGTGGGTGTTCTGGTGTTGTCTGCACCATCTCCTTTTTAAAAAAATACTGATAGTTGGTTGGGGTTTTTTTTTAAATCCTTATACTGTTACATGTGTTTCTGTTGTCTTTTTTTTTTTCAAGTGAAATGAGACTTGGTGCAGTGGCTGTGTGCTGTACCTAGCAGGAGATGTGAGTTTGATTCCTATCATGGGGAAATTTTATAGAGTATCTATGTCTCTCTGTCGGGATACTGTATCCCATTCAGCTTTGATGATGGTGCTGACTGGCTTAAAGAACACTACTGTAAAAAAAAAAATTACCCTTCCTGCCGCAGTTGGAAGAACCTTCTTCTCCCCTGAAGTCAAATACTAATATTCTTTGACATTTTTCCAACTATTTTGTCTCAAGGCCACGGTTCGGGAATCTCTGTTTTGAAAAAATATGAAGGTGTGTTGTTTACTATGTGTGTTTGTTGTATGTAGCAGCTGTGCTCGTGTGTGTATGTGCGGTGTGTGTGTGTGTGAGAGAGAGAGAGAGAGATCTGAGGAGACCAGTGTGTTGTTCTGCCACATGCTACAGTGAGACATTAGGCGTCTGTATTACATGATGATGTATGATATTCAACGACACAGCATTGCTTTCAAGTCGATTCTTTCCATCCAACTCTCTCTCTCTCTCTCTCTTTCTCTCTCTCTCTCTCTCTCTCT